ACTCTTCTGCACAGCCATGGACTACCTTAGTTCTGATGCTAATCTGCACACAAGCACTTTTCATAAGCTGAATGCCCTTTCGCACAGAAAGGCACATACAACCCAAAATAGTCTCAGTGCTCATCTGATCTGCATGTCAGCCCATACACCATCCTGTACAGCAATTTGTGGCCACCTCTTGTAAAAATGCAGTTGGCTCTAATCCAACATTCATAGGCTTCCATAGACTAGAAGGCTCTAAAAATAATGCATTTGAAATAATACACTCAAGACTAGAATGCAACAGCCCTTTGAAGAATAGCTCAGCACAAACTGTCTCACTCAATGCCTGAGAAGCAGGGAACTAACTGCACTGATTATTTTTCATACCTGACTGTATGAATATAAGACTTTCTAAAAGTCTGGGATCAGCTCAAATACAATTACAGATCTGAAGATTATTTCCCAAGCTATTGCTGCCAACAGACTTGTGGCTGCCCCCAGAATCTTCTAGGATGTGGGAGTCAGAAAATATTCTCACTTACTTTGCGGTGGTGGCCCAGCAGTATTCCAAGTCTGCAGACCTGCTTTTGAACTTGATCTGTGTGCCATTCATCCCAAGGGTTTCTTAGCTAGGTCTGTAACATTTTCCTATACCTCCTGTGAGTGGCTGCCATTTCAGATGAGAAAGAGGATCCAAGACATCTTCAGGTCATTAAATCTAAAGATTTCTCTTTCCCTTTTTCTCCAGTACAAAAGACAATTCAATTAGGCATTTGGAAGAAAATCTTCTTTTGTGAATCTCTGTGCATCTGCTGTGATTTGTGCCACATCTCCAACTTCTGTTTCAGGCTGTAGCACTTTTTTCAAGAACTGGCATTCTCTGATTCCTATACTTTGTAGTTCTCCCAGAAAACAGACGGGGCCCTACATCTGCAATGCACAGGACTTATAACTGATAAGTATGACAGCCTTTTATATGTACCCCCATTCATATATTTCAGTTCCTATTCTTGCCTTTTAGCTGATGATGTCAGTAGTTGTCCAGTGTGTTCATGTGTTACATATAACACAACAGAAATCATAAGCTACCATGTCAACAAAAACAGAAGTACATTATGAAGCTACAGCTAGCAAGACAAGAATATTCACTTGTATACAAGGAAAATAACAAAAACTGACATGACATCGTAAAGGTTTTTGAAACATTCTGCTTTAAAGCACTCCCCTGTTCACTGTCACAGTTTGAGTCACTGCACACCTGAGAATAACTAGTGAAAGCCACACTGCAATTTCTGAGCAAGTGCATGAATGTAGTACAGTGTCACTGTCAAGCTTCACCTAAACAATTAATGAAAAATCTATGAAACTTGCTACACGCCAGAACAAACTGCTACATACTGTAACTTGTTAGATATTTTAGCGAGCGTGCACAAGGTGAGTTGCTATTTCACTGTGTAACAGAAGGAAACTTCTGCTGCATCATGCCACCTCTGCATGTTCTTCTTGCCTGAAAATGCAAGATTTCAGTGAGGATTATAAAGCTCTGATGGTATGGGCAACCTCCTTCCAAGGTGAGAAATGTCCTTGGCTTTACATTCTATATGCAATTCAGAAAGTGCCTTCTCTTCTGTTCCCTCCATGATATTATGTATGGTGAAGCTGTGCTCCAGATGTGAGTGGAAAAAAGCAACACAAAACAAATCACTACCACAGTAGCACAGCCATTCCTAAATAAGCAAGCTGTTACAGTACTGATCTTGGATCAAAGAAAGCTGGTGTTGCCATGTTCTTAGGTCAGACAAAGGCATCCTTAAAAGTACAGATCTCCCCCATGCTTTTTGATTAAAGTGTTCTACATGCTTCAATGAGAACCCACATTGTTCTTTAAGCCTGAAATGTCAGAAAGCTTAAGAAACTTGATTAAAGTGACCTGAAGGGTAGAGGGAGTATAATAGACGACAATAGGAGAGCTTTAAGATCAGCTTTAGAGAATTAACTTCTAATTATCTTGCTGCAGAGCAGAATTCAAAGGTGCACATTAGACTGCAAGGCTCCCCATTCAGTGCACTGGCAGAGTGAGACGAGCCAGTTTCAGCACCTTGAGTGGCATAGAGCACTTCAGAATTAAACATCCACTATCACAACCATCTCTGATAGTTGGACTCTTGCAGCTTCTAATAGGCATAACAAAATGAAGTGTAACAACTCATGCTTATTACTACTCAAAAGATGTAGAAGATGTTGAAAGCATTAACAAAGATATTTCCCCTACGTAGCTTTTGGTACTCAGTTTTAATAGTGATGTTAGAATAATTTGTACCTACTTCCTCGCTGTAAAAAACATTACATCACTAAAAACGTTGATACAAAATGCGGGTAAGGCTGCCTTCCTCCTCTCATTCCTTTTCCCTCCAGTAATTTTTCAAAAAATTTTTTAAAAATTCAAATTCATTGACGAATTTTAATCATCACAAATAAGGACAAACTAACCGGATCTTCTTTGCATTATGAAATGATTTTTTTGTACAAACAGATCTGTCCTCCGCAAATTACAGACACTGAACCATTATGACAGCACTGAACCTGAAGCAGTGGCACTGTAATTGCTGTTTGCTTTTGTTTTAAAAGGTCTTGTTGTGATATCTGTGTGAGCTTTAATTTGTGATACAAGTTCTGTTCCAATAGTATGAAATGGTCTAAATCAAACTTCAATTTTTGAGTGTGTTACTCAGGAATCAGAAGTACAGTATATGCTTTATCATCTTGTCAGTCATTTTCTGAAGGTATGACATGTTTGTAGTGTGACACCACCACCAAGCATGTAATGCAAGATTTTTCAGGAGCTGACATAGTTTTGATTTTGGGGAGCCTAGGCCTTCTTTTTAAACAAAATAGCAAATCTCTATTATCCTTCTTCACCTAGTACACTTTTGCATGCACTTTTTCCAAAGTTGTGTGTTTTCCCAGCAGCATGTCTCTGGGGAATCAAGTTATGTGTCTTCAAAAGCAGGGACATCTATTATCAGAAAATAGCCAGGAAACTCATTGAATAATTATCTTTCAGACATCAGAAGAAATCAATTTCATGGTTTATATTCCTAGCCGTCCTATCGAAGCTTGTAGGTTTTCATTAACTTTGATAGGTTTCAGATCAGATATTTGAAAAAGAAAAGAAGTAGTGCACCACCACCATCTGGCAGCCAGCCTCTGGGTAAGGATACAACAAAAGCTGTGTAAAGTAGAAACAAGCTGAGTATTTCAGTCAGCTCTGTCTCACAACCCTTATGCAGCTGAGAGGAATAATTTACAGCATTAGAGTAAGTCTAGAATATTTGCCTAGCTCTAACACAGTGGGATTTCCATGAGAATGACTACGGCAGGGTAGCTAAGGCAACTTCACCCGTTTCTTTAGGTATCTCTGTAAACACCATCTGGTACAGCAGCAGGGTTTCCATGCTCAGCATCGCATCCATGAAGAAATGGCTGTTTTCGTTTTCTGTTAAATACAATGTCACCTGTAAATACAACGGTCACCTGTATATCCAGGGCATAAGTTGCTTGCAGAAGAGAAGACGGAAGAGCGCAGTTAGGCAGTGGAAAACTAAGTTGAAATCTGAAATCTGTGAAGAAATCTCTAACTCCATTGTGGTATTAGAAAGTGGTATTCCTTTATTCCTCACAATGCACACTGGGCAAATTGACAAGCAAGCGTGCACTCTCATAGTTCAGGTTCTACATTTATACAGCTAGGACACACATATGCAGCACTTTGGTATACGCATTCACTTTTTTCAAGGTCTCATAGACATTGGGCATGCTCAATGGTATTTAGGGTGGTTAGTGCCCACCTATTTCTTCCCCTTTTTTCACCATCAGCTTCACCACTGAACCCTTTGACTCACTTCATTCACTTTTCCTCAGTTTGGAAGATTTCCATTGCTTACTAGGCCATAGCAAATAATTTTTTAAAACAATGTTTGTGGAACCCAAGGAAAATGTCCTTGCATATTTTGAGGCAAAAGATAAAAGTATTCTGTTGTGATTCCAGTACTTCTCATGCAGCTAAATCATTGAGGCACAAGATAAAAGTGTTCTATTATGTTCCCAGTGCAAAATTTTTGAGGAAAAACTCAACTGTTCACCCACTAAAGCAGAAATGGGAAGTTGCAGAACTATTACTTTCATTAGCAGTGGCAACCAGGAAAGTAAAAGGTGTTGCTAACACAGGGAGACTTGTTGTGGGTCTGGCAGAGCAATCCCATTTGTAATCAGAATGGAGTGAATTTGATCATAAATGAGAGGAGTCTGATGGATGGAAGGAGAGTGGAAGAGGGGGACAGAATATAACTAGGAAGCTGACCCCTGATATAAAACAAACTGAAAGAAGAACTGTTCCCCTTGCAAGCAAAGACTGATTGATGACTGACAAGAAGAGGCATCAACAGCAAAGGTGATTAAAAAAGTACCTAAGCATTAGAATGATTTGAAGAAAAGGTAGAAGAGAGCAGAGAAGTGCCAAATAAAAATTAAAAAGAAAAAGAAAAAAGAAAAGAAAAAAAAGAGCAGAGAGAGAGAGGTATAAAAGGCGAAGAAAGAAAGGATAGATTAGAGTTCCTTACTCTGGGCAGGGCAGAGTAAGGTACTGCCTTACTGTGGCAGTAAGGTAAGTGGGCTGACTTACCTAGAATGTGCCTATTCCTGGGAACACCCTGACTGGGGTATCTTAGATAGCAGTTAACTGAGTCAGATTCTCTAGACTGAGAATTACAGTTTACAGGAAAAGACATTATGTTTTTACATAAGCAGCTACTTACTATGTTCCAGGACATGCAGAGAAATAAATGAATTTTGTTTTCATGAAGACTGACATTTATATCCTGTACCACGTTCATGGAGAAATGAAGTCTTTGAGGGGAAAAGTCAGCTTATCATTGTTGTGTTTGTATAACATGAGAACGTTATGCTTCAGGATCAAATTCAACCTACTGCTACAGACTGAAGAATCATAAAAATAATGATAATTTTTTAATTGCCTAAGGCAATTCCAGTTTTATTCGCTTCCTCTTCCGAGCTGCAGTTATTCCCTTTTAAATTCAAGACGTAGAACAGGATATGCAGGATAAACTGACAAAATTACTGAATCTTCAAAAATCAAAGGGAGGTTGTAGTGTGTCTTCACATCTGTTCCATCTAATATTGTAGAACTTCCGTAATTTGCTTCTCTCCAAAAAATTCGGCTGGACTCCTTCCTCTTCACAATGCCTTTATACAGTTTCCATTGCAGTTCCCTCAGGTTATGGAAGACGACATATGGTATTTCTGGCACTGGCAATGAGGTATGTATTATATTAACAGACATATAATACAAGTTTTTCTCTAAAATAATTAGGAGTACACTGCAACAAGGCATGAATACTGACATCTGCATGCTGTAATTTAAGCTGAGTTCCAGAACCCAAATGATCAACTGATCACTGCCTATATTGTTTGGTTTTGTTGTTGTTTTTCAGCAAAACCTAACAAAATGAGTAAGTCTTGTCCTGCTTCCACTTATACGTATAAAGGGATTCTTAAAGATTACCACGTCAGGAGGAAAATTATTTCACATATCATCATCACTGGTGGGCACCCATGTCGGTAGCCACATTCACTAGGCCAAAAATGACTAGATGTCAGCACTTGGCAACTGCATGCTCTCACAGATGTGAGTTGCTGACAGATTAGTGAAGACACGCTTGTACCAATGCTGCTGAGGTTGCACCTCTTGTTCGAGCTGAACAAAAGAGTTAGTTTCATCCTTTTCCACATTAAAGTGTCTTTGGCTATCTAGGCATCAGCTTTGTCACTGCTGACCAATGAGGAACATCTCAACAGATAAAACATAAGAACCAACTCAAACTAGTTTGAACATTTGTCTGCTTCTTGAGGGCTACAAGGCAGTGGATGCTCTGACAGTCCTCAGCTCCCAACTGATGCACCTAGAAAAATTTTAACAGTGGAAATCATTTTATCTCCTCCAAGTTGTTTCTTGGAGACTTGAGGCTATTATCTGAGAATCCAAAAGATGCAAAGATGGATTTAATTTCTCCTTAGCTATCTAGGAAGTACCTTTAACTAGTGTTTTCCAGAGAGAAACACACACAAAGATAGGAAAAACTGGTATGAGGCTGTGAAGTATATTGAAGCTATGAGGATGGAGAGAAGGGGTAGGATATGTGAACAGTGTCAACTTGATTCACATTTTGTATTCTGCCATATGGGAGCAAAGGTACTCTAGTGTGAGATTCTCCAGGCAGAATGTTTACCATGTATGCAAGCCATGAGATGTAGCAAATCCATAAAAACCTTGTTATTATACTTCAAAGCAGATGTAAGGTTAAAAAACTATAAAAAGCAATTCAAGAGCTATTGAAGCTGTTAGCAAAATCCACTGCTTTGTTTAAATGAGGAGAAAACAGTTTCTACAAACTCAACTTTCACCAAAATCCATGCCAGAATTCCACTGAATTCAATTCAACATCAGGAACAACTAAAAAGCCTGTAAAAATTAACCACTTCTGTGCCTGGGGATCAATTGTTAATATTATCAAACGTGCCTGGATAAATAAACATTTGGTGTAAATTAAGGTAGCAGACTGCCTGCTTTTGCTTTAGCAAACATTTTTTCCATGTTCCAGATATTCATGCTTCTATTATTTGGAAATTATTTCAGAATATAATACCTGAATTTTTACATTCAGAAGCCCTATCTAGAAATTCAGTCTCAATTATTTTCCTCTTTCAATTTTTTTTTTTCTTCCATGGTTCTTAGCCAGTCCCATTTGAGCTATTCTGAGACAAATATAAGTAACAGTACAGACTACGCACCTTCAGAAGCATGCAATTTGGAAACAGGAGTCTCTGATGTTGGCGTGCTCCTTTTCTCTTTCCTTAAATACTGTATTTTGCATAATATCTCTCCACTGAAACACTTGTCTTGGATCAAATAAAGTGGCATAGAAAGACAATTTTTGATCAAAAACACATAAGGGAGAATATGTTTTTGCAGCGAGTCACTAGAATAGTATTTTTTGTGTCCTCCAGAAACAGATACTTTTGGCTTTGATTTAGACAGCTGTCTGACATCTTCAGATATAGAGCTGTCTGCACTTTTCATTCCTATCCTTAATGACTCAGCATTTTCCTTTGCAATACCTATCTGTGAACTACTACTAATAGACTTCTTACAAAGACAGCTGCATTTGTGACGTGCTGCAGCATCCCAGTCATTAGATCTTATTGCTGACTGTATGGTATGGAAGAGAGAAATGTGTGTTTGCTCCAGAAGTGAAAGGTAATTCTGCCGCTCATTTTTGATATTTGTGAAAGATAACAACTCTGACACCTGAAAAGAAAAAAGAAAAAAGGCAGGGAAACTTTCCACATTAATGAAAATGCTCAGAACTGTAAAAACAAGTTCCACGGAGGATTAGGATGTTTTCTCTTATTAGTACTATACTACTTTTTATAGACCATAAGTTTTGATATGACTCATAGTTTGGTAGCTGGTGATCTTCGTACAATACAAATCATCCTTTCCACAAAAATCTTACAACAAAAGCATAAATAAATAAATATTTTTTTATTACAATAAAAATTATTTATAGAATCATAGAATCATGTGAATTGAAAGGGACCTTTAAAGGCCATCTAGTCCAACTCCCCTGCACCAAACAGAGACACCTACTACTAGAGCCTGATCCAGCCTGGCTTTGAATGTCTCCAAGAACAGAGCATCCACCACCTCTCTGAGCAACCTGTTTCAGTGCCCTATCAGCTGTGATATAAAAAACTACTCCTTATGTCCATTCTATACCTCCACTATCAGTCTGAAACCATTTCCCCTTGCCCTATCACAGCACACCCTGCTCAAGAGTCTATTCCCTTTTTTCTCATAACTCATATACTCAGTAACTATAGATGAAGATAAAAGCAAGATGACCACGTGAAATATAACAAATGGTGATCCCAGCACTTCACAATGATGACAGTTCCCTTTGCACTGATTTGCATGAATATGCATAGAAGTTTCTTTTCTACTGTTTGGAATGGGTTGTAGAGAACGACATGAAATTCTCTTACTTTTTCACTTTATGCCGTGATAAATAAACCTGTCCAAAACTGATTCTGAAATGTAGTTTGATGGAAACAGTGTGTTCTGCTGCATAAGCTATGTGTGTAAAACAGATCACTAAGAGTAAATAAATGAATCTGGTATGTAAATGAGCCTACAGAATCTGTAACCTTTTGCATCCCTCAACTTATGTCCAGCACCTAAGGCCAATCAGCTTATTACATAGGAAGTTGCAAAGATGATGCATCAAATAATGGAAAAGATGTGCTGTTTGTTTGTTGTCATATACTAAGTGGGCAGTGGATCCAAATATTATGCACTGAGTCATTCTGTTTTACTGAAAGCTCAAAGAGACTGATAATTTCTGCAGAAAAGTAAGTACCATCACTCAGAATAAAAATTACTTGAAGCAAAATGCCTATTGTTGGGATTGCAATGGCTTTCTGTTTTATTCAAATAGCACTCAAAATTTACAGAAGAAAGCAAGAGAGCTGCTTCTATTAAGATAAACATGTATTAAAGAGCATATAATGTAAAGGACAAAGCAGATTAAGACCCCTCGCTCTTATCAGTGTTCTCATCAAATGCATTGATGCACACAGGATAAATGAGAAACAAACAAATTCATCTTTTTGATTTACAGCATGAACAAATACCTCTTTCTTTTCAAGAATGGGAACAAATGACAGTAATTAAAATACTATTCATATGCTAAATACTGATCATGAAATATTCAACTACTGTAGATTCTGGTACTATTGTTTTCTTTCCTTTTGCTACAAAAATTCAGCACAAATGTACTTGTGACGCTTAAAAAAAAAAAAATTCTCTGCATTTTCTTGCAAAGCATCATTCTATTAAAGCCTAGCATATCTTCTCATTCTGTCAGGTCCACTGCATATAGCAAAGAGCATTTTGGTGTAATAATATAAAAATAATAATTTGGTACCATAGAGGTACTTAGGCAATTCTCTGGGGGAAAACAAAGAATTAAAACATCAACAAGGGGAAAAAAAACACAGCAAAACAACCCTGAGGATAAAGGAGGTGGGCACAGAAAGCCTACAAATGGTTTTTAAACTGTTACTGTTCTCACTTTCCAGCCCACAGAGGATGACTGCTTCTGATCCATATCTTCTGGCAGCATACCATCCTCAGTCTGATCCATTTGCCTTCACTATGCTGGAAAAAGTAAAGCCATTTTAATTAGTGAAAGTGTGAAAGTGGAGAAAACACTGCCAGGGAAATACAAGTACCCCAAATTAAGTCACTCCTTACTTCCCAGCACCTTGTGAAGTAACAATGAAGTTTCTGCGTCATGCACCGCGGTAC